CCCCACCACTAAATGCTAGCGATCATTATGATATTTGCATTTCCCCTTCTGCGCTAAATCTTCGTGGTTTAAAAAGCTTAAACCAAACACCCTTTTGAGGGTGCGACGGCCGGGCCCATCTGCCTGACATCTGCCAGCACTTTAAACCACCACTAGCAGGTTGGGGGTCGGGGTCTGGGTCTGAGAGTTTCTGGCCCCCCAAGACTTAAAGGAAGGGGACCATCTCCAGGCCATCGTTCAACGGTAAGAAGTGGCTGGAAGGAAAGTTGCCGGCAGCTCTCTCCTTCTGTTCACCTCGCCGCCTAATGAATGTAGCGCTGGAAAAAGCCCTGCGAGTCTCCGGCGGCGGCTTGTGGCTGAGTGTCACACTGCAGGCGCAGGCTCGGCCGGTATTGCTGCTATGCGCGGAAATATGAGCGAGTAATTTTATAAGTAACAAAGGATCAGGGATGGAATGAGGCCCCTGTTATCCAATGTCATTTAGAAGCCTTGGATCAGCAGCTTCTTGAGGCTAAAAGTGAATTCAAGAAGCCCTGCCTTTCCCTTTTCCCAGGGGGTGTCAGCTAAATTTAGAAATAACCTCTCTATGTGTTTGCACAAATCATGTACCATTTGCTGTTTGTGTAAAAACCGATTAGCCAGACACAACTGTGAAACAACTTGTTACTTTTATAGCTGCAACACACAAACAAAATTAGATCCGTTTAGTTTTTCTTGTAAAAGGAGATTAGAAGGTACCCACCCGGAGACCGTGTGGTCCATAATCTCTTCTCGATGAAGGTTACCGTTGCTCCTCTCGGCAGTGGTTATCAGGTTCTTGTTTATCAAGTTAAACTATCTCACCCCCGGCAGCTTGTTTTATTTTAGGACCCTGATCCCGAAGGAATGTTTACTGAGGACACAATAATGTTTACTGTTTACCAGGAAAACAGATTTCGGTATTTGCAAGGAAGCGTCTTTCAAAGCGATCTCCAGCCCACGTCGACAGCGGAGAAATGAGGCTGGAATCCGCGGTAGGGAGGCATCTCCACCACCAGGGAGGCAAAGTGGACGACAACACCGGGGACTGGCCGGCTTTGACCAAAAGGACGCACGCAGGGCCCAGCGACAGCACTGCTACTCGCTCCAGTTTTTAAAAGCGATTTCGCACAAGTAATTGTAACAGCTAAATTAATTATGAAATAATTAGAATTGATGCCTTTTGAGGATATGCTGATGGTGGTGAGAACCAGCCTCCCACATCAAGATGTTTCATTTCTACCTTCATCCTTTCTTTAAAGGGTTTTTAACAGCTGAAATGAACATAAAAAATAATCTACGAAGACCTTCCCCATTCCTGTCCTATGATCTCGCATTTCACACTAACCTAACCTAAGGTAAAGAAAAAAGGGGGAAGACGTGATATGCAGAGCTGTTTTTAAAGTGATATTAAGGCCACCATTCCTTGGCCTTCAGAAAGCTTCGGGCTGGAGGGAGAGGAAGCATCCATAGGAATCCTTCAGAAATCCGATTATGTTCTGAATTGATTATTGTCCTATAAATGAGATCTTATTTGAAAATATTATGAAAACAAAACCATGTATTATCTATCAGATGAATATAGAGAATAAAAGCCCGCTGCAAAATGTAAAATGCTTTAACATAAATTTTTTAAACCAGCTGGGTTTATTTACCACTTAAGGAATGAAGAGAAATAATTTCAAAAATCTAAGATTTAAATGCTAAAAAGAGGGATGTTTGGAATTTATTTACTTTTAAAAGGGTAACTGAAACGACCAGGAACTCCCTCATTTGGGAAGTTTTCATTGCGGAATATACAAGTTTGGTCATTTAAAAACAATTTTTAAAAGACTCTGCTGTTGTTTAGTTTTCTTTCTTTTTTTATGACAGCTTACTTTACAGAAATGTCTGGTCATTTAGATTTAATGGGTTGATATGAATGATATTATCGCTCATATCCTGATTTTATGTGAAAACTAAAAAAAAAATTAACAGTTTAAATTAGGCATACTATACTGTTTCCTTTCTCCAATTAAAATTTTCTTACACTCAAATTATGAAATAATAAAGTTTGAAAAGGTCATTACTTGAAATTCCTTGATTTTCTGGAGAGGAGAAAAGGCAAATAACATTTTAAAATCTTGCCATTTACTTCAGACAACTAAATGAAACACTAGGCTGGGCATTTAAAAAATTTATTTACAAAGTTGTGTACAACACGATGGAATAACATTTAGAATACCATATATATTCATTCATATATAAACAGACTTTCATAATAGAGTGACACTTTTTGCCTTTTTGAAAATTTTTTATATTTAAAATCTCCCAACGTCTCTATACATTCTTTTCTCAGATAAAACTTCGGAGAGCGAACCTTCAAAAAAAATGAAAGTTCAGAGCTCTAAATCTACGGAATTTGTTTTTTCTTAAAAAAATAAAAACCCCAAAAGGAAAGTCAATAATTTTTATACAAATATATACAAAGAATTTCCCTCTCATCCCCACGGTACTAAGAGCAGGCGCCGTCGGGGTGCATTTTTGGAAAATTCGGTTTTCGGTTTTACCTGTATGGAAAGCTATCCCCGGCGGGCGCGCGGTGTTTGCTCGACCAGCTTAGGTGTGCGCGAGGGGATGGAGGCCGCGGAAGGTAGGCGTTGGGGGCTCAGGGGCAAGGAAATGGGGGAGAGGCAGAGTCCAGGATTGGGCGGCGGGACCGGGATCGGGACAGGGCGCGCAGCCTGGAGGAGCAGCTGCCGCTCGAGGCCGCACCCGGCCCTGGGTCCCGGCCACTGGCGCGTCCCTATTGCGCGGGCCATTTGGCTTGAGCGGCGGCGGCGGCAGCGGCGGCGGCCGAGGCTGCGGGCTGCAGAAACTGTCCGGAGAGCGGCACGCTCAGAATGGGCGCGATAGTGGCGGTCGTCCGGCTGAGCGACAGCGGCTGGTGCGTGGCCATGAGCGCTGCCGACTGCACGGTCCCGGGTGGCCGCAGGAACGACTGCGCGGTGCTGCCGCCCCCCGATCCCCCAGTGCCGCCTGCGCCCCCAGCGCCCGCCGCCGAGCCCCCGGAAGCCGCGGGGCCCCCACCTATGATGTTCTCGATGCTGAACGACGGCCGCGCGCTTGGCTCGGACTTGATGAGCGACGCGGTGGTGCCCGCGGGGCCCGCGGTGCCCGCAGCGGCCGCGGCAGCGCCCAGGCTATTGAGCTGCAGCTGCAGGCCGGGGCCGAGCTGTGAGCCGAAGGCGGCCGCTTTGCGGCCCAGCTCGCCCGAGGGCAGCAGCGGCACGGCAGGAGGCAGCACCGGCGCCACCGGCGGCAGCGCGTACGGGTACTGGAGCGCCGCCGCAGCCGCCGCGGCCGCCGCCGCTGCCGGGTGCGAATAGGCACCAGCCGCCGCCGCCGGGTGCAGGCCATAGGGGCGGCCGTAGGGTCCCGCGGCGCCGGCCGCCGCCGCCAGGCTGTAGGCGCCGAAGCTCTGCATCATGAGCGCCGTCTGCTCGCGCAGGTGCTCCTGCTGGTGGCGCTTGAAGCGTTTCCGGCGCCGCAGGAAGCTGCCGTTGTCGAACATGTCCTCGGACTGTGGGTCCAGGGTCCAGTAGTTGCCCTTGCCGGGGTTGCCCGGCTCGCGGGGGATCTTGACGAAGCAGTCGTTGAGTGAGAGGTTGTGGCGGATGCTGTTCTGCCAGGCTGGGAACTTCTCCCGGTAGTAGGGAAAGCGGTTGCTGATGAACTCGCAGATGCCGCTCAGGGTCAGCTTCTTCTGCGGGCTCTGCAGGATGGCCATGGTGATGAGCGCGATGTAAGAGTAGGGCGGCTTCACCAGGCTGTTCTTGGGTTTGCTCGGGGCCAGGCCGCCCGCCGAACCACTGCCCGCGCCGGGCCCGCCGCCGCTCGCGCCGCCCTCCTCGCCGCCAACGCCGCCCTTGCAGCCGTCCTCCTCCGGGGCGCCCACCTCGCTCCCCGGTCGGGCCCCGGCCCCGGCCGCCTCCTTGGGCAATGCCAGGGGCTGCTGGTGGGGCGGCTGAGGCTGCCCGTGATGGGGTGCCGCCGGGGGCACCTCGTCCGCCTCGTCCAGGCGCAGCTCCGGCGGCCCCGCGGGGCTATCGCAACCCGCGTCGCTGTCCTTCTCCTCCAGCCCGTCGTCGCCCTCGCCCACCACATCGATGTCCACGTCCTCGGCCGTCAGCACCGTCTGGCCGGACATGTCGCTGGCGCTGCCGCCGCCGGAGAGGGTCATCCCTCCTCGGGGTTGGTAGCGGCGGCGGGGAGGGGGCAGCGGGCGATTGGGGTGGTCGGGGGCTGCCGCGGAGCTCAGGGGAAGAGGGTTGAGTCGCCCCCGAAAGATGGGGGGCAGGGAGAGGGGAGGGGGCCGCAGGTGGCTCGGGGCCCGCTCCGCTTGGCTCACACTCGGCGGCCCGGCATAGCGCGGCGCCGGCGCTGCCGTTAGCCCCCCGCGGCCGCGCTCTGAGAACTCCTGCGCTCCCTGGCGCTCGGTTCTAGGCTCTTGATACAGCTCCCGGCCCCGGCGGTTTGTCCACTCCGCGCCCCCTCACTTAGCCCGCCTTCCTCGGCCTCTGGCCCTGGCGTGGGGCGCAGGAGCGGTCCAGGCGGGCGCGGGACGCCGGGCGCCGAGCGGCTCGGAAGGGCCCGGGCAGGGGCAATCGCGGGGGGGCGGAGGGGGCTAGGTGTCAGGGACGCCGAAGCCCCGGTAGTCGAAAGTCCCGTTTTAAGGACTGGCCTGATAGATTACTTTCTACTTAAAGATCCAGCGGGAGGCGGGGCCACGTGACCGTGCGTGACGTCAGGGCCGCGGTGGAGCCGGCCAAACTCAAGTTGGTTCAGGGAATTGTCAACAAAGGGACGAGAGACGCGCAACTCCGCTCCGCACGGTGCGCCAGCATCCCCGGGACCCCGAGGGCGCTCCAACCCGCCCGGAGACCCCCACCCAGGCGGGACCAGGGTCCTGGGGCCCAGGGAGCGGGTGGGTGTGAGTGTGGGTGGGTAGGTGGGTGTGATCGAGTGAGGGCGTGGGTCTGGAAGCGTCCGCCAGACTGTGCGACTGTCGCTGCCTTGCCTTCCCCGCCCCCTCTCCCTTCCCCCCTTATCTCCCCCCTGTTGCCACACTCCTTAGACAGGGACTGGGCGACCTAGAACAAGGTTCCCATCCCATCTTTTAAAAAGCAAAACTTAGTCTCTGTTTTCCTTTTTGTTTCATTGCTTTTAGCTTTAAAGAGTAAGAGCTGCGCGCCCGGCTCGCTCTTGCTAATTAGACTTCAGATCCCCCTCCGGCCTCAGTGCTCATTCCGGGGAAGACACCTGCTGAGATGTCTTTTTTTTTCCCCCTCCCCCAACCAAACCACTCTAGTCCTTCCTGCGCTTTCCCGGCTTGGTGCAGGCATGTTTTTTCTCTATGTATTTTTTCGTGCGACAACAAACAGCATCACCTGGGGTTCCCGAAGGTCAGAAAATGGCTATTGATTAATCCATTAGAATAGTTGCCGAGAGGAATAAAAACGACGTAAAATAACAGGGAACCTATAAATAAAGAAGCCATAACTGGCTACTTGGAGTTGTTAAACGACTTAGCATATGAAAAAATCGGAAATGAGGCGCTGGGAAAGGAGCCGGGATTGGCGGCGGCCTGGGTAAGTCGAGTGGATCCGGGAAGAGGCCTAGTGCCTCCAGGTTAGACGCCGCGCCCATGCAGGGGCGGCTGAAGAAACGTGAGGGGTGCGGGTGGTGACTTCCCTGGCGGCGGGCATGGCCTCGGAGGAACCTGGGCAGAGTTGGGCATGCCAGCGGGCTGGGCTTTCCGTTGCTGCCAACTAACGTGGATTTTCTCCTCTTAAGGTGTAGACAAATCCTCCAAGATTTAACTTCCTAGGAAACCGGCGGCAGAGCGGGTGGAGGAGGCGAGGATGTGTGGCCAGTGCTCGCGGAGTGCAATGCAAGTCAGTGATGGTAGGAAAAACTGTGGGGATTTCACTGTGACTGGAGGGGGAGGCACTGCAAAACGACTCCAAGTACGTGGCTGCGGTGCGCGGACCTCACACCTCCAAGGAGAGTCAGTGCTCTTGACCCGGTGAATCCGTCATGCCTCCTCTTTCCTCTCGCATTTAGGCCGCCTAGTTGGGAGCAGCAAGAGTCTGCCCGTTGTGGCAGGCACATGGAACCCAATCCCTATTTGTCCGCTGCGCCCTGGGAGGGGAGCGCCGGCCTCACCAGAGGAAGGAGCACGAGGGGAGGAGGTCCGAGAGGAAATAATTGGTGAAATATTTGCAGAAGATGCTGGGATGCGGATTTAATTCCAGATGAACAGCGGTGCTTCTGATTCCCTCAGTCTGTTTCCCACCCACGATCTCCTCTTTCCTTGTCCTAGACACACCAAAAATAATTCAGTAAAATAAAAATAAAAATTTTAAAATCTGTAAACTTGCATCATTACAAGCATTGAGACACACAGATTGACTTTTATCTCCATTAGACAGTTTCCCCTCATTTAACACTAACACCCATTGGATCCTGACTGAGCAGGATATTCCTGGTTGGGGCTGGGAGCAGGGTGGGGGGCGGTGACTCTATCCTGAGACGCCCGCGAACCTCCATGGTTTTTCTTTATCTAAATGATCCCGAGGTTGCACCTGGCCCTAAAACGCATCTCAGAGTTGATTTCCGTAGCTGCACAGCTTTGCGGCCCGCAGGCTCCTAACCGTTTACAAAGCCGTCTAGACAGCCTTCCGCAAAACCTACCCAAACTGAGCTGGCTGGCCACCGCCCCGGGCTGCAGAGGTCGCGGCTGCAACTGCCTCTGCAACCAAAGGAGGGTCGGAAGGACCAAAAAAAAAAAAAGCTAAAAAGCTGAAATTTACACATTCAGAAACCCCCTTTCCTCTGCTTGTGTTGCCTAGCCCCAGAGGCGCGGGGAGCAGCGCTGGCCCTGCCGCGGCCTAGGTGGCTGGCCCCGCATGGACGGGTGCGTGTGGACGCGCGCCGGAGGATGGTGGCTACAGGGCTGCCCTCACCGGTCTCGAAGTGTCTCCAAATGAGCCTAATTTCGATTCCGCCGCCTGCCGAGCCTGGCTCTCTGAACTCCCTCCACGCTGCTGGTTGCTGCCTCCTACCCTCCCTCCGCCACCGCCCGGCCTGATCCGTCCATTCCCGGGTGTCTCCTTGGAACCTCCCTGGGGAAGGGGGGTGGGGTATGAACAACTCCCAGCTGCCCGTTCCATTTGTTGCGCTTTTTTCCTTCGACACAATAAAAGTCAAATTAATTGATTCATACCATTAATTACGGTGCGTAGCGTGAAAAGCAACGCTTCCCCTCGGTTAGAGATCTATTGTGCTAATCTCTTGTTCAATCAGTGTTACCATCTGATGCTGGGTCCGGCCCTTACAGAAACTTTTCGACTCGATTAGCTAAATGATGAGACGTGCAGAACCTGCTGGCTGCGGCCCCGACGTCCCGCGCCCGCGCTGGCCTAATATCGATTTCCAGCGGAGGCAGAGGATTTTTCCGCCGCCACCCTCAGCTCGGGAACCGGCCACTGGCTTTCTCCCTCTAGGCGAACCATAGCGCTCGCACAATCTCCGGGGGCGGGAAGGAGGCTAAGCGGCGCCCGGGGTGGGAGACAGTAAGCTTCCTGCTGGCCTCCATGCAGGAGGCCGCCCCAGCTGAAGGGTCCGATCCCAACGTGGTGCAGGGTCCTGCCGGTGGCCGGCTAGATTCCAGGCTAAGTAAATTGTTTGCCGCGTAGTTGCAGTTTGCAGCTGAAAGCCCACAGTTCGTCAGTTACCGCCAAGCTTTAGGACAGAGATGGAAGAAGCGAGATAGATACAGAGAGAAAGTGAGACACATGCAGTGGGGGGAAGAAAATTTGATAAAGGGAAAGGAAAGGGGTGTGTGTGTGTGGATAAACAGTTTTTGAGTCACAAAGGGTTATTGGGGAGGTAGAGGGAGAATGAGTAGACACACACACACACGCACACACACACACACACGAGTTTAAGTGACTCTGAGTCTCAAAAAGCGAACTTCCCAGGAGAGATTTAAAGGGGAAGATGGCAGCCAGCTGCCTCACCTGCTCAAATGTTTCAACCAAAGGAGAATGGAATGAAACTCCTTCGGTTCCTCCTGGAGTGGGCAGAGTACGTGGTACCCCGCCGGAAAGCCACCTGGACGCCGTGGGAATGAGGGGTGGGGGGAGTAGGGATCCAAGTTCTAGTAACAGGAGGCAAGAATAGTGGAGTCCTGATCGATAGCAAGGAAATTGAGACGTCTCCAGGGGAGGGGAGATTTAGTGTGTGCGTCCGGATTGCGGGGGAGGGGGGGGGATGGGAAGGGAAATAAGTGGATAGAAAAATTTATAGTAGAGAAAGGGAAATTAATTACAGCTCATTTTGGGTTCTTAGGTGGTCAACACCGGAGGAGGAGCACGGTCAGAGTGCAGAAGGCGGGAATTACCCACCTACCCCTCACCAGGCCCAAGTGAACCCAGGTGCCCTCTTTCTTGTCTTTTAATTCAGAGACTGTGCCAGTGGCTTGCATAAATCGTTGGCGCGGTGTGAGATAGAATCATCACGCCCGCGCGCGGGTGCACTTTTCTTACAATCCGGGGAGTTGGGACCAGGTTTCGCGGAGTAAAGGGCACATCTTCCACCGAGAGCAGTTACTCTCTTTCGGAGAGAAAGCAAAACGTGGGTGGGGCTATTAGAAAAATAACCCTGCTTTCTCCCCTAGACCCCCACGCCCACAACAATCAAAGTCTGCTTCTTCTTGACAGTCTTCATAGATTTGTTAAACTATTATCGGCCTCTTTGTCTGGATGGCCGCCACCAAGGAGGGTGGAAAGGGCAGAGATGATACCCAAGGCCCCAACCCACCCAGATTATTTCCATTTCCCAATGGGTGGAATTTTCAACTCTCTTCCCCACCACCACCCCGTTGTATACCTCTCCGGATCTTTTCGAAGTGGAAAAAAAGAGGCCAATTTAATGTTCTTGTTTGGATTTGCATCTTAAGGCTTCATTTATTTTCAAGGTGTCTGCCACTCAGGGTCCACGCCAAGGCGTGCCTGTAAATGGCGAGAGTCCAAAAGGAAAGGAGGAGAGAAAGAGGAAGAGAGAGAGAGGATGGTTTCGAATTTATTTATATTGGAAATGTATAAACATCTATTCTGTAAAAGGCAACACGTTTAATTAACGATGAGAGAGCAGTTAGGGGCAGAAAGCTAGTAAAATTGTGTGATAAATTTATGGCATTGTTAGCGTGCTTTTAATTATGGCTATTATGTTAATTATTTCACATTAGCATGGAGTTATCAGCAGCATGTCAGATTTAATCAAAACGAGCCTTTCTCTCGAAAATTGTTCTTTTCATCCACGAGGAGAAAGGTCCTGGACAGGAGCAGGGCTTAAAAATGACTTGGCATTGAAAGCCGGAGTCTTTCCGACATCGTTTGGAGCGATGCGACCGGGCCCGGCTGTCCGCTGGGTCCATCCAGGCTACCGGCAGCTCGCAGAGGAGCCCAGGGCTGGGTTTTTAGGAATTCACCATTTTCACCCCCTTCGGAGCCGACACTTCATCATGTGAGATCATTCTGTCAAACAATATGATGCTGCTCATTTTTATCTGTCCCGCTTTACAAAATCCCCATTCAGCGGGCCGAGGAGCAACAAAAGCCTCCGAGCAGCTCGGCGGCCGCGGGCGGCCACAGCCTCCCAGGCGCGCGAGAAAGAAAAGCGAGAGGGGCCGAGGATAGCCGGCGGCGGGCGCGCGCCCCTCTCCGCCCTAGGGAACGCGGCCTGCCGGGGCCTGCGCGCCCAGGTGTCGGGTCCTCGGGTGTGGCCCAGGCGGGACACGCCTCCCTCAGGCCCGCGCCCGCCCTCGGCCTCCCTGCAGGCACTGGGCGAAAGCCCCTTCTCCCTTCCCGCGAGCGATTCGCCCACCCAGGCCACATCGATTTCTTAATCACCGCCGATCGATTTATTGGGAGCAAATAAATAGCCCGTTTTGGAAACGTTTCAATTGCTGGCTTGATGGTTGGGGCGCTGACGCGGGAGGGCGGGCAGGGCACCGGGGCGCGCGCGGGAAGGGGTTTGTGGGAAGGCGGGGAGCGGAAAGGCCGAGCGCCACCCACCCCGGGAGCCTCCGGAGCAGCGCGCGGGGCCGCCCTTCGCGGGTCCCCCGGCGCCTCGGTCTCCGGAGACGCCCGGCCTCCTGGAGGGTTCCGCTTGTCCTCCTCTGGCGCTCGGCTCGCGGGGCGGGCAGGACCTCAGCACCCAGCCCTTCCGCCTTGTTACGTCCAGGCAAGTTGGCCTGGCTTTCGGATACCTCCGGACCGTCCCCCTCCAGCCCCGCGACCCAGCCCGCGTGCAGGCCCCGGGGCCCACGGAGCTCGGCGTCCCAGGCCTTCCAGCTCAGGCTGCGGACGCCGCAGCCTCCTCGCCCCTGGGCGGGGCGCGGCCTTCCTGCCCAGGACCACTCGGGCCCCCGCCCCTCCCGGGACAGGGCTGTGGACCGGCCAGCTGCTGCCTTATTTTTAGCGCCATTCCATTCGCGCGGTTATATTTAACTCGACCCACTCCTCCTAGGAGGTCGCTCGGACATCGAATTCTCCACATCATAGCTTGGCCCCGCCCGCCTTGCCTAAGGGGCAGTTCCTCAAGGGGCAGATTGGAAAACCCCTGCTAAGGAATCCTTGACATCTCCGGAGCTTGGAGAGGAAAGGATTGGAAGAGAGATCTGGTTCTAGGGGCAGTGGCTCCAGCGCCTACGGTGCAATGCGCGGCGATTCCGCCTTGTGTGAGGGAGGCGAGGAGGGGACAGCATTCAGTCCTGTGGGAAGGATTCTCTGCGGGGAGTATGGGGTCCATTTCCTACTTATGCATGACCCAGAGCACTAGGTGACCTGGAAGAGCTCTCACAACCCTGCCCTTCCAAAAGTTTATCATTTAGCATGCGTGCAGGGATCCCCTCTTCTCTACCCTCCAGTGCACCCAACGGGATACTTGATTTCGAGTTCGCGCCTCAGTTCCAGCCCAGTCTTCCCTTGGCAAAATCTTAAAAAGACCATGCCACTGGCTCACTCACATCCCGGGGAAAGGACCCACTTGGATAACATACAGAAACACCATTGTGATACACACTTTATTCACACAGAATGTCAGTTAGCAAACAATGCAGAAGTCATGTACCAAAGGTACACTAACAGATTTGACATGGATCAGGGATATCGAAACACATTTTCGTTTGTTTGTTTTTATTTGAGATGGGGTCTCACTCTATCCCCCAGGCTGGAGAGTACATCGTAGATGGCTGCAGCTCTTGACTTCCTGGGCTCAAGCGATCCTCCTGCCTTAGCCTCTTGAGTAGCTGGGACTACAGGTGCACACCACCACACCCAGTTAATTTTTAAATTTTTGTTCTTTTTTTT